CTGTTCAGTCTATACGTTCAACATCCGAAGAGATTTTAAACACATACACTGTATATGGAAAGTTCCGGGAATACTACCACTATTTTAAGAATTAACTGTTCTTTCCGATATGTGTAACCATCTCAACATGTAGTAGCACCAAACATATTAGTTCAAAACATTTTTGTATGTCAGTGTTTACTTGTGCGTTGTACTGCTGTGCGAGTGTTATTGCTAGAATAACTAGCAGCATACTGTAGCTTACACATACAGAGGAAAGCTAAAGAAGCTACAATAATGATCGTCTCCTAAACAGACTAGAGTTTCTGTTTGAGCACTGCATCACCCTGGAATTTGAATATATTTGCATGAAGCTAAACTATTAAAGTATTGTGAGAGAAGGCAAATTATTCTGATTGGGTGGGCTCTTTTTAAATGATTGGAGAACCAAAGATCTACTGTGTCTAAATAACAATGTAACTCTATACTGAAATTGGTTGGTAGATTGTTTTTTTTGGTCTTATCTTATTTGGTTTAAGGATGTAAAGGACTGACTTTGATTTTAAGATGAAATCAAAAACTTACTTTCAACTGAAAAGAGGACTTTGGACAACTGAGCAACAGTCCAGTTCTTTTTGTCCTTATCCCAGGTGAGACGCTTCTGATGTCTCTGGTTCAGGAGTGGCTTGATATCAGGAGTGCAACAGTTGTATCCTCTTTCCTGAAAACGTTGTTACTTGGTGACTCTTGATGCACTGACACCAGCATCAGTCCACTGCTGGTGAAGTTGTTCACCGTTCTTGAATCAACTTTTCTTGACAATCCTCTCAAGGCTGCGCTCATCCCTGTTGCTTGTCTGCCTTTTCCTACCGCTTTTCCCCTCCAGTCAACTTTGAACTGAATGTGCTTCAATACAGCTGCTAACAGCCAGTCTTTTTAGCAATGACCTTCTGGGGTCTTCCCTTCTTGTGATGACAGTCTTCTGGACAACTTTAAAGTACTGAATTACACCGAGAGCTACACAGAATTTACACTGTATAGTAGTATAGTAGTAATTTGTTGAAATACTTGAAATAAGTCACTTTACGTGTGTTAAGTTTAGACTATTTATTCAATTTTCACTTGAGATGCACTATTACATTGAGGGGGGCTGCAAAGTAGCTTGGTTAGCACTGTTACTGCGCAGCAAGAAGGTTGCCGGTTCACGTCTCGGTGAGGACACCCGGGATCTTTCTGCGTGAAGTTTGCATGTTCTCTCCGTGCAGCGTGGGTTCTCTCCGGGTTCTCCCACACAGTTCAAAAACATGTTGAGGTTAATTAGTAATTCTAAATTGTCTGTAGGTGTGAATGTGAGTGTGCTTGGTTGTCTGTCTCTAAGTGTAGCCCTGTGATAGACTGGTTACGAGTCCAGGGTGTCCCCTGCCTTTGCCCAAAGTCAGCTGGAATAGACTCAGTTCCTGTTAATCAGTGCTGCAGAACAGGGTTTCAACATATCCAAGTGTACAAAACATAATGGAATGTCAATCTGTTCTGTTTGCAGATCTAAGGTGAACCTACAGGACAGTCCAGGAACATGCACCACAAAAGCCTCCTAAAAAACAGCTTGGCCTCCTTCAGTACACTCAGGTCACTGGACAGAACAGCAAAGCCAGGAAAATATGTACTGAAAAGGACTAATCATTCATCAATGAAAAAAGACCTCAGACATGTTCCAAGTGCTTTCAAAGGGGCACGGCAGTGTGTTTTGACCAATTTCTATTTTGGATATGAAAAGGAACCAAGCTCATCAGTTTCCTGTGGGAGTATTTTCATTTTCTGCATCTGGTTGTGTTTGATGAGATAGAAGCAGTCAGTTATTGACTTCTTTTATTTTGTACAGTTTAGACTGCTGCCACAGTTTTGGAAAGAAGTTTTCAAATGAAATACTCCTACTGTCCTATTGCCAAAATTAACCCTACCATCACAGAAACAAGTGTACACAACAGAGGAATGTTAACGATCATTAAATGTGTGTGGCTGGGTGTGGGAACTCAAGAGCATTCCTGCTTACCATTGACTTTGCAGTGCTTCATTTGTTCATAATGTTGGTTTGTTAACCTACTGTACAAGGAAACAGTTTGTCTCAGTTGTGAAGCCTTGTTTCCGCTCCGAGAAGACAGAAAGATTATCCATGACTGGGAATTAATAAATAAATACATGAATAAATGATTATCCAGATCCAAGAGGTACCTAATGACAAAGACTGCAAGCCTTACAAACCTGTGTCTGCAGAAATTAAAATATGAGGACAAAATTGGGAGTGTATCCTTCAAAGTGGTGTGAGGATAAACAATAAATAAAAGAGACTTAGACTGGCTTCAGGTGTCAGTCCTGGTATTGGGACTATGCAAAAAATCATCAGCTAATCCATATTGAGATTGTACTGTACAATTGCCATTTAGAAACAAACCCAGTGGCTCAGTTGGCCTCTTCTTTGAAGAACAGTGTTTTACTTCCATTTACTACAACTATGCTTGTGTTTTGTGTGGAAACAAACTTGAAAAGAATTTGCTACTGTAATCCATTGCAGTGTGATCAAGACAAGTCAAGAAAGCGTAACCACTGTGTCACTTTGATTGCACAGTGAGAAATCATCCAGCTTTTTCAACTGCATTTGCGTAAACAGTTGAAGTGTAAAAAATACATACTGCAGATGTGGAATGATGGGTAAAATGAATTCTTAGATGGCAACTATTTTGAATATATTTTGTAATAAACATGAAGAGACTTTTACAGCGACAGATTGCACTGTTTTGATTAATCATGTCATGTTAATTCTGGCCTTTCAGCTAAAGCACTTTGGTTCATGTAATTCAACAGTTGATCCATTACTCTCTCAACGGAGTTTTTATCTGAGCTGTGAGGCGCATAGTGCATGTATGCAGAAGCTTCATGTGGCCCTATCTTTTCCAGGGTTCACTGATTATTGGGTACTCTTTATTACATTAATAAATAAATAGTTAACATTAGCAGCCATTTGTATCTTGGTCAAAGCAGGAAACCGTCCCAGAGCCTCAGACCAGTATGCGCCCCAAATGTGCGTTAGCAAGACATATATTATTTATTAGTCATGATTGTCAATATACACTAATTACTAACTAATACAGTGTTTGGGAATGTGAAACGTTTAGAAGACTGAGCTGAATGCAGTCTCAAGGCAATTTTATGGATACATCTAAAGGAGAGCTCAACAGCATTCGCAGCTACTTTGGCCTTCAGGCAGGTTTAAATGTTATATCTGCCTCCATTAAGCCATGCATGGAATTCTATAGTCAGAATTTATATCAGCTAATTATATTTGAAAAGTGTTGTAAACAAGATTAGAAAACCAGGGAAAGACAAATCTCCAATTTTATCTGAAGGCCGGCACATTTTAAAATAGCCTGTTTTCTGGTAGGTTTAGTTGCACTTTGGACACAGGAGCAAATAGGGCAGTCAGGATCTCAAATCTTACTCGTTCATCCTAAGACATGACAAGAATGAGGCAAAATATTTTACCATGACATTCAACAAAGAAACAGAATGTCACAAAGACCCTCTTGAGTAAGACAGAGAAATTGGAGTTGCATTATGGTTGAGGAGCAAGGAAATCCTTCTGCCTAGCAGAATCTCTTGACAAATACCTGAGCAATATTCCACCTGGTGCAAAAGCCCTCGCTTTGCAGGCCAGGAGGGTAAAAGCTGCAAGACAACTTCTGATGTGTCACTGTCCTAGAAGTAAATCAGCTGCTGCAGATGTTCCCAAGGATGTCCAAAGAGGCGAAGACGTGTTATGTTATGTGGGATTTTTATGTTATTGGTTATTATTCAATACAGCCAACATTAAGATAAGATACAACATGATGCAGTGCAATACGATAAAATAAGATAAACCTTTATTAATGTCAGGCACTGACTGAGGAACTACTGTTCCTGCCTCCCTCCAGCCTAGTTGGCAGCCATATTCTCCCTCTCCCTGGGTGTGGCTGTAAGTGAGCACTGATTACAGGAGTAGAAACAACTGCCTGCTGGGCTGGCTCACCTGCCTTTAGGGGTCCACTTGCAGCCATGTGAGCCTGGTTCAGACTTCCACTCATTGCCATAGACTCAGCTTCACAGTTCATTCTGCTCAGGCACTCCTTGCGTAAACACTGACCCTCACTAACATTTGATTGTACTGCTATGAGCTCTCTGACTTGCCTCTTCTCACCCCTGCTACACCCAAGGAACATCCCAACCAGTTCAGCCTCTCCTCAGCTACCTTATTGTAAATATAGTAGATTGAAACAACTTATTCTGTCTGTGTCTCATGGCTGCATTTTAGTCGTCTGATAGACCATGACAATCCCACATCCATCCATTATCTATACAACGCTTAATCCTCGCGGCAGGTTCTTTTTTTCTTTGTGTGGTCTTCTTTGAGCAGTGCTTGTTGTAAAAGCAGCAGGGAAGAAAGGACTTGTGATTTCTCTCTTTCCCCCCATGGGTGAAACTGCTGGTCATTGTAGAAGCTGTCCAGTGCATCCCTGTGTCCACCTGTCTGCTGCAGAGATGCCCCTGTACCAGCATAAGATGGCTGCTGCTGCTGCTAAGTTTCTAAAGCAGAAAGTCAACATTGTCTTTTTTTTTTTTTTTGCAAAGCAAACTCTATCACTGAAATTAATATCATAACCAAAAATGGGCAGGAGAGACAATGTGGTCATAACCAGTCTGAGACTGACTCACAAAACTGGCCATGAAAGAGACAGAAAGAGACAAGAAATCATGTAACAGAAAACAGGAACAAGCCTCATGCCAGCAAATTATTTCCGATGTAACAGTGTCAATAACATTCTACAAATGACCTGTGGACGGCAGCAATACACTTCCGCTGCGTCCAGTCTGCCGCAAATTATCAACAGAAGAAGAAAAAAAAACTTTCTGACCCAACCTATCCGGACGCGAACAACCAATCCCCAAACAGATTGTGACCTGAACCACCAATCACGGTAGAGTGTGCCCACTGTGTCCCTCCTTCTGATATTAGCATTAGTTAACTAAAACATCCTGCTGACAAACCATGCTTCTCTGCAGTAAAACATTGAGGATTTATTCACAGATATGTCACATATCGAACAGACAGCTCAGCACGGTGACAGTGCAGAAAAACAGGAACGTCTCCACTCAGGTAAATGGCCGAGTCCGTGACAGTCCGCTGATACACTGCTGAGCTGATGTCGTAGCGCTAATGTTAGCAATGCTAGCACATCTATGTGTCACTGAGGTAACTCATACATGAACCATATCTAACCTTCCAGCTCAGGAGACTCTGTCACTTCAGCGGGGTTCGTCCCTTTGCTGAACACACGCAGCATCCCGTCTGTCATCCTCCAAACACAGTAAGTTCTACTTTCAAACTCCTAACTTGATTTACGCTTAAGCCATCACCATTTTACTGTCAGACGAAAAAACGCATACAACCCAGCTTCTGTGAAATTCCGGTGTTGCAGTTGTACCAGTGCTCATGTCATCATGTTGCTCATGTTTGTTTTCAGCCATGCTTTTTTCATGTTAGTCGGCTCGACAAAAACGAAAGCCCGAGTCAGAAATCACGGGTATCACAACGGTGGTTATCAACTTTCGTTTTTAACTCATACTTTCTGCTTCAGACTCTGCTTACATGACGCGTCATGTGACTCGTCTTCCGCACAAAATGTGCAGCTGCTTCAGTAAACACGTTGTTTTAATAGAGAACAATGAGGAATAGAACAAATTATGACTGTTCAAAGCGCTGCTACTGCAGATGATGTGATACAGGAATGCTGGTAGAAAACTGTAAACGTGTTAAGATATTTATTTTACTGATTTAAACTTCATATATTAGGATATCACTTCAATTTTTTTTCTAAATCAAAGTGAAATTAATGTTACTGATTGAATATTCTCTGCAATAAATACCAGTAGAATGATCAATTTTCTGATCTGTGTTCTACCAGCAGTGTAAACAGACTTGACAGCAAATCAGAGAAAAACATAAAAACATATTTATGTGATTTCTGCACCACCAACTAATACACATCTGGTTCCCATGGCAGCGCAATAAATCCAGTGCGTGATACTGTACTGCACGGCTTCATTCAGTCATACCAGTAACACCCAACTCAACAGGTTTGGAGATAGAACACATTCCCTCAGCTGAGAATTTGTATCACTCATAAATAATACAATTTGGTTAAAGGGAGATGCTCTTTCCATCAGATTTAAATCCAAAACTCTGAACAGAACCTTCTCCTGGCCACATTAGCTCCACACTAAATATTTCACAAGGGGTATACATTACAGGAAATGAAACGGTGAAAGTAAATAAATCCAAACTGGTTTTAGACAACAGCTGGGATGATTATTATGTGAGGCTTAGTTGTACCTTGTTTAGTAGCTGATCTCACTTTTTCTGTGTCAGTGGTTTGGGAGCAGAATTGGTGGGTCCTGGAGGAAAAACATCCATCTGACTTCATCAAGTCTGGAAAAATCCACCCCTGTGATAAGGTAACCCACAGTTATTTTCTTTTCTAAGCACCACTAGCGAGTGTTGAATAGTTAACCTGATTTGTAACATTGTGTCACTCTGTAAAAGTGAGCTGTCAGAAGCCGCATATGAGAAGCTGGCAGATGAAACATTGGATGCTTTGGCTGATTTCTTTGAAGACTTGACAGATGAAGCTGTCACTGGAGCAGACTATGATGTTGTCTTCTCCGTAAGTCAATCTTTTTGCTGTTCACTGTTAGTCTGGGACACCTCTGACTAGCGATTGATTGATGTGTTTTTTTTTCTAGGCTGATGTCAATATTGATTATTGGTGACCGAGAAAGGTCAATAACTGATATTTGGGACCAATATATTATAAAACTTATTTATTAACAGGATGTGATAGCACAGACTCTGTCATTTGTACCCAAGTTTGTTTATTAGGGAAGGATTACTGTTACTGAACTCATACATGCATACATTAAATATCTGTTAAGTGTATGTTTACAGCATCTGATAGCAGGAAACCTGTCATTCATAACAATGTTTCTTAATTTAAAAGGATTACTATTACTAAATAAATACATATCTGCACATTAATATTATATATTACCAACATATGATACCAGGGAACATATCAGTCATAACTAGTGTTCTTCATTATTAATGATTAACAAAACTCAATATGTACAGTAGAAATATGAGTGATGATATTGAGTTTTGCAGGGCACTCTCCTGTTTACTGTAAGATTGATTGAGGTCAAGAACATTTGGTCTCTGCTGTTGTTCTTTGTTTTCTTAATCTTTCTCTGTTCTGTCACTTTTATTGCCCACTCAGGCCCAGGTCTTAAAACATTGTTAGACACTGTTTCAGGGGGTACTCTGTGGCTGCTTCCTAACGTAACCGCGAGAGTTCACGTAGCTTCAGCCTCTGTGAAAGTAGGTAATTCCATGATTTGTGGTGATAGCTGTGCTTCTTGTTTATTTTTCGCAGGCTGTTCCTCTGTTAGAGAGTTGTGAGTGTCAGTTAGAACAGATGGTTGAAGTTAATCTTTATTTAGGAAAACGTTACAGTACTCCACATAGTGTTAGCCACAAGATAAGGGGCACAGCAAACCTCTTAGCAATAGCCGCAGTCTAGTACTGTTGCAAAAATAAGTTCCAGCAGCACCACTTGAAAACACCTACAAGTGAATATTTTTTTATTTCCTGTATAACAGGCAAACAAAGCATGCTCGTGGAAGACTGCAGTGTTTATTAAACCTCCAGCAGTGTAGCTACATCACCATCAAAAACACAGCTGTGGTAATGTACCAGAGCTTCTCTGCTCTGCAAATGCACTCATCAGTCCCAGTCTGTAAACAATAGGTTTTAGTGATTGCCTGTTACTTGATACATGTAAGCACTGTGGGCAAGACATTGCTTGGGACCACAGAGTGAATATAGACAAAGAGAGCTGGCTATAAGAGCCAAAGCAGCACAATTACCGTATTTTGCAATAATTTGTCAGAATTGTATAGGGGTGATTGACGAATAACACAATTCTGACCGTCCGTGTGTCACATACTCAGAAAAATTCATAATTTTTAAGAATACATATATAATTAAAGCTGCAAGCAGCGTTGGTCGGGTCCTCGGTCTGCGTTGGACCCTCATGCCCGTCTGACCTCCATTTTGACACAATTTAAACCTGCTTTAAGTTGAAGGAGCCATTTTTCTCTGTCGTCTCAGCCTGAGACTGTCAGTGAGTCACATGACCAGCTGCACTGTGCTGTGATGATGTCATCGTTCAGCATGTCCCTTGGTGGGAGAGTGACATTTTCACTCACTTTCTCTCTCCCATACTGCCACAATTTTCACCAAATATGTGTAAAAACAACATATCAAATCCCTTCAGAACTTTTGTACACCAAGGCCTTCTCTGTCTCCTGTGCGATTTTCAAGTTGGTACAATTTACGGTGTCAGACAAGATAATTTTTTCCCAAAAGAAGTTTTCGCTCATTTTTTTACTTTGAAAGGCAAATTGTGGACTTCCTGTTGGAGATAGGTCAGGGGTGTCAGCACGAGATTTGTGGGTCTCATTGAGACAAACATTTTGATGTTGGTTTGATCTCTGTGCGACATTCCAACTGGGCGCTAGGGCTGTTTTAGTGTGTTTTTCTGTAACTAGGTGGCGCTAGAGAGCATTTTTGTCTTTTTTTTTTTTTCATTTTATCAAATTTTTCGCCGATTCGGACGTGCGTGCCAATTTTGGTGAGTTTTTGAGCGTGTTTAGGGGGTCAAATTAAGGCAAACGCGTTCGTCAGGAAAATAAGAATAAAGAAAGAAACGAAGCGGGAACAATAGGGTCCTTGCCCACCCCTGCTTGCTTTGCAAGTAGGGGTCCTCGGACCCTAATAAGAAGAAGAAAGAAACGCCCTTCGGGCCAGGACCCCTGCTTGCCGCAGCAAGTAGGGGTCCTCGGACCCTAAATATTGTTTGTCTGGGAAGATAAAGTAAAATAATACCAAAGGTGTTGTGGTTTTAATAAGATTTCTGCGTGGAATTTTGATCTAAACATCAAAAACGTCATATGGTGTGACTGTCCGGCATATGTGTGTCCTCAGAAATAAGAGCATATTTCCAAATAATTTATAAATATTTGATAGTTCTATAGTACATATAATGTAATAATGTGTTATCAATAACCACATTACGTCTTGATGTTGATGCATTATGTCAAAACAAATTATGACCAAATACATTTTGTCCACAAAATGGTTGTCAGATGGTGTGACACTATAATGTACATTTTGAACGGGCAATAATTTGGACATCATAATGATAGAGAGGACCACACCAAACAGGGAAGGTACGGTAACATCTCTGGAATGACTTGCAGATTCTTACGGTGACTTGTGCTTTTTTGATTTTTAGTTGAAAAGCTATGAATCTGATATCACCAGTAGTGGTCAATGTTTTGTGTCTTGCGGTGTGACATTATTTGCATGAAAAAAAATATTTCTCACAAATTTTACTTATTAATTATTAAAGATCAATGCTGCCAAGTGGCGAATTGCATGCTAGCTATTAGCTTGACTGATCACAATGTCATATGGTGTGACAGGTTTTCCTAGTCACACCATATGACATTTACTTTGTTTTTCATTAATATTTATATAAAGGTTTGATAGAAGTAAAATATCTTTATGATAAATAATCCACTTTACAATTTTCACTCAATCAATTCCATGCTGCCATATTTTACAAGTTTTTTGATCTTTCTTTTTTTAAAACCATATTTTACATTTTGTCATAATGTGCATATTAAAAGATAGTTTCCCTGCATTTCTTGTCAAAAGGGAGACATACAGTATGTCCAGCAAGGAGAGGACGCGGAGGTACAGGGAAAGACTGAATGCAGACCCTGTAAGGAGAGAGGAAGTCCTCAGGGAAAGGAGGAAAAAGTAAATTGATCATACCAGTTCATACGACAGACACAGACAGGAGAGCATTGTATTATTCTGACTATTATTACTACAAGAGCGAATCTGAAAATAAATGTTTAAAATCCTAAGTCATATAAAAATCTCAAATGTCATGACTGGAATATTAATGTTGTAATCTTCACTGTTACTATGTTACTTGTTACTATGACATTCAACTCTGTCAATCTTCTTAATGCAGTTTGCGCAATAGTAAAGTTTAAATTTAACCACTGAGGTTATGCAAATGTTATTGTTCAATCTTTGAAATGAATTTGTAACCTGTTTGTGTTAAATACAAAAGGTTTTGCACGACATATTGTAGTGTGGTGCAATTTATCATATGGCGTGACACGAATGTCATTTGGTGTGACATTCACAATTGCGACAAAAAAAAGCTTTATTCGTGGTAATTCACGAAAATATCAATAGAGAACAAGGAAAATAGTGTCAGCAAGAGTCTCAAGCAATTTCTAACAGTTGTTGCAAGGTTTAAGATAATGAATCCAAAATATCTATAAAGATTGTGGAGCCATGTCCTACTTTGCACAATGATCTATAAAAATAAACTGAAATATATCAAATTTTCACAATAAAACAGTAAATATCAAATGGTCATGATTTAAATATTTGATGAAGTAAGTTAGAATTTAAAAAAAGTACCCCATTCTTTTTTTATATGAAATATCTTTCATGTCACACCATATGACAAATTAAGGCACTCAAGCAGCAAATTGATGAAAAAAAATACATATTTCAAAACACAAAATCAAAAAGAACACATGAATATTTGGAAAGTTAAGAGTTGTAACAATGCAAAAAAAAGTAATTTTCAAGGATAATAACGAAATTTAAAAAAAAACAAAAAAACTTTTTTCCAGCTTATACGTCAACCACTCATAGTCAGAATTTACCTTTTCTATGTTATCATACTTGGTTCAGGAGATGTGGTGGAAGATACATAATTTTCTTATGGTGAAAGTAAAATAGTTGCCATGAGGTGTTTTTGCAATTGTTCTGTTTCTGAAAATGTTCAGGGCCTAAAAGTTTACAAGTGTACTGAGTTTCATGCTTTCATTTAAAAAAATAACATATGACTTCAAATTTGGCACAAATCACACACTTGGACTACAGTGAGTTTGCTGCCAATGTCCCAGTGCCTGATACCACAAGACACCACAGAGGTCTTTGGAATGCAGGCCTTGACTGCTCACAGCTGTTCTGGCAGCGTGAGGGGGGCCTACACAATACCAAGCAGTTGGTTTTATTGTCATTTATGTACAGTGTGTTGGTTTTAACTGGTAGGCATCTAGTGGCACTTTTAGTAATGGGGTGATGGGTGATCAAACCATCAAAGGTAAGAGGTGGGTTCTGATATTTTAGGACATTGTCAGACTTTACCAAAGATAGAGTTCACAAGTGGTTTATAAGGTGAAATTTTTATATTGCTGAATAGTGGAGTAGTTTGGTTCATTATCATCACAGGACAGCTTCATTGTCAAGTGTTGATGAATCTGGTAGCTCACCACTGCAGCTTTTGTACAGCACAGATCTGTAATAATAGGAGGGTAACTGAGGGTAATCAGTAACTATTTTTTGTAACACAGTGGGATGTCCACTTGCTGAAGCAGCATCTGATTGGCTTCGATGCCACCATGGAGTGGACAAGACCTGGGGCCACTCCCTATTTATTAGATGCTGTTAATAAAGAGCTTATAGCAGTGAGCTTGAAGTCTTCTCTTTGCAGTTGAAACTGAGACTTGCTTACTACAACCACTGTTAAGCTGTTGTCCTGTGAACCGCCTGTCACACAGGCTGTTGACTCTCACAAACTTGTCTTCTGATTCTGTTGTGGCTTTGGGTCTGCCGGACCTCTCCCTCTCAGAGTTTCCCCCAGTTTCTGAGTGCCTTTTGATGGTGAAGCAAACTGTACTCATTGACACCTTGACTTTCTTTGCAATTTTTCTGCAAGAAAGACTTAGATTTTTAAGTGTTATGATGGTCTGTCTCTCTTCCATTGGTAATTGCTTTTTCCTTGCCATTTTTATAGTAACACATTTCTTTCTGCAGTATAGTTCTGTTCAAATAATGCTCACTTTGGGACACCTGCAGACATTGGTAGCAACAACTTTCAAGGCCTGATCAACTTCCATTGCTGCAGAACAGCTTTAAGTTCTGAACCCATTTCTTGTTCCCTGAAAAAAGCCTTTTTGTATAATTCTGAAATGTACATTATTTCTCAGTTTTGGGTAACCCCACTTTTTTCTTTAACCTCTGGCATTTCACCACTTACCTTTGTACCATTTCAAGGTACAAAGGTAAGTGGTGCTTAAACTACTTGAATTTCAATTAAAAAATGGAAGAATTGGGGTGTTGTAAGACTTTTGACCGGTAGTGTATATACAAAATGGAAACAGAAAAACACATTAAAATGATTGAAAATTATTATAAAAGTTTTTTTAAATTTTTTTTTTTAGATTTTATTTGTCTTTGTATTCCCACTTTCCAGATAGATAGATATTTTTTTTTCATATGCACAGCTGAAAAAAAGGGCAGTTAAACGCTGCAATGAAATTGTCTTGTTTGCACACTCCCTTGTACTTTCTCTTTGTTTTTCTACATTTACTCTCCTATTTCTCTACAGATTTATTGTTTTTATAGCACTCCTGTGACTCCATACTTTCGTCCTGTAGCATTTTTGTTTCCCTGTCACAGGTCCATGATTAATACAGCTCCTGTGTGTGTCTGTGTGGGTGTGTTTCTTTTTTTAATCGTTCTGACTGGACATTAGCTGTCTCTGCTGTCTCTGACTGATTGGCCAGTGTTCCAATCTTGGCTGCTGACCCCCTTTTTTCATCGTGAGTGCAGTGATATATGGGGCCATAAACAAAACATACAACAGAGTGAAGAGAGCTGTTCCTTGGTGGTCTAGATGAGCGCTACAAGTAATACTACCATTTACAGTCGTAAAGGAGGAAAGAGAGCAGAAAATATTTACATTGAAGAGCTGCAATCAGAGAATTTGCACTCCAGTCGATTATCAAAGTAGTTGTTGGTTAATTTAATAGCTGACAACTAATTGATGAATTATTGTTGTTTTGCCTTGAAATGCTGAAAATGGATACAACACATCAGTAAATCAGTAAGATAGCAAAGCAGCTGAAATCAAAACGTTGTGTGAATCATTATTGATGCAATCCTGTATGTTTGTACTTTATTAGACATTTGTAGTTGAAGTTTAATTTTATTCGATTTAGGTTTGTGGCTAAAATGGAAACATGCATGAGTGTGTTCTGTCTTCGGTCTGTGTACAGAGTGGTGTTTTGACAGTGAAGGTTGGCGGAGATCATGGAACCTACGTCATCAACAAACAAACACCAAACAAACAGATCTGGCTTTCTTCTCCTACCAGGTAAGATTAGAGCTTTACCATAGCCTAAACACATCAACCAAATGAGTTTGCCCACATTTTGTTTTACCCTGAAGCCTCTTTCAGACATGGGATAGGGAACATTGCAGCTTCATCAGTCTGGTAAAGTGACGGCATTCTAGTCATCCAAACTTAAGTCACTTTTCTGTATTAGGCACGGGATTTTGATTATTCATGCTATTTACACTTATGTAGAATGCATAATAATGCAGTACCAGACTAATACCAGCTGATCCAAGTGTCCAAATTCCTAACAGCCTGGTTTATTTCTGATTTCTTAAGCAGTGAAACAGAGAATTCTGGACTACACCGCAGGATGGGGAATATATAACAAAAAATTCCACTGACTGTGGTGAAGAAAAGTTCAGTGTTACTTGCTATTAGATCCTGATCAATCCTTTCTCCATGTCAGGAGTAATTTATAATTAAAACTAGTGAATCAAGTTAATACTGTTGGCTAAATGTGCACAACTCTCTCTTTTTAATGACACTCATGAACTCTAATGGTATCTAATACTGCTATTATGTCATAAGCAACAAAAAAAAGTCCTAAATAGCTAGAAACTAAATTGTAAAGAGTTCAGCTAAGTTTTTGTTGCTGTTGTTCCGTATGCAAATGTAGGCAACTTTCTCTCTTTGGAGACAAAAGAATCCTGCTGCTGTCTGATGTATTTAATAAACTCAGATGGGAATAGTTCTAGGAAGAAACGAAATGACTTGTGGGGAAAAAAAAAAACTTCAATTGCATTTGCTATTGGTGAATATCATTTATCTTTAGGCTGTTAGTGTCTGTTTTCATTGCAGTAAAGTTTTGATATTATGGATGTTTTGTTGTGTAGCCTTATAGATGTGAAATTGTAGAACAAAATGAGTGACTAAAATATGTCATGAAACCATTAATGAAGCGCTCTCTGTGATGCTTTTGAACCAATAGTGGTGCTGAAATGTGGAAAAATGAGCAACAATGTTGGCTATGTTAGCCTATATGGGGAATTTTATGTTGTTGATAACGATGTTTGAGAGGAAAAGACTGCGACTGGACGAGGACATTAAGGGCAGGCAAATGACCCTGGCTGTCTCCAACTTTTGCATTTAGCATTTGTCTTCTTTACGCAATCACTGTCAAGACCCACACAGCAGTATTTCAGGGCTGCTGAGATATAGCTACCATGGAGTATCTTGACCTGTCCACTGAGCAATGAATAATTTTCTATACCAGGCCCACAGTTTTTTTATTGCTCCTCTTTTTCCCTTCTTCTCTTATATTTGCAGTGGACCGAAGCGCTACGACTGGACAGGTGAACGCTGGGTGTACACTCATGATGGTGTTAGCCTCCACCAGCTACTTTCTAAAGAGTTTTCCATCATCTTCAATGTCAACATGAACCTGTGTGACCTGCCCTATTCTTGAAACCTCATACTGGCTAATGGCCTGCTTATATCATAACTATTGTACGTTGCAGAACAACTTTTAGATGAGAAGGGAGCCAAAGACACACCATGTACAGTACTGTCTATAAGTTTGGATACGCCTATTTATTCAAAGTAAAAAAACGCACAAATATGTGAATATGTTTTAATTTTCTTGATTCTTGTATGTTCCCACCTTTTACTTTGATGACAGATTTGTACACTTGCCTCTCTCAATCAGTTTCATAAGGTTGTTACCTACAGTTTTTCCAATGACCTTAAATGAAATTAAATTGAATTTCCCTTCTGGGATAAATAAAGTATTTTTCATTTTATTTCAAATACGTTTGTACATACACTTAGCAGTTGTTGGCAACTTTTTGTTTACATGGTAGTCCAACTCATCCAAAACCACGTCAGCATGTCAGGTTTAGGTCAGTGATTATGGAGGACATCATCTTATGTAGAACTCCATCACTCTGCCTCTGGCTCAAAAAGGCGTTACAGAGGCTGAAGGGGTGGTTTATGTCGCTGTCCCATTAAAAAAATAATGTCGAATGTCAACAGCAACCCCACCACATCCCATCACTGCCTTTAATCCAAGCTTCATGGTAGGAACCACACATGCAGTTGCCATCTATCACCTTCTCTGCATGTCACAAAAACACACTGCCTGGAACTAGAACTCTCACATCAGGACTTATCACACCAAAGTTCTGATTTCCTCTTATGTCATGTCCATGTGTCTTGGGCCCCAGCAGATCTCTCCTTCTTATTGACGTCCCTCAGCAGGGGTTTCTTTACAGGCATTTGACAATGGACGTCTGATTTGCACAATCTTCCTTGGAACATTTGATGTTGAGATGTGTCTGCTGCTTGAACTGTGGAAAGCATTGATGTGGGCTCTAATCTGAGCTGCTGTTAGTAGTTGACTTCTAAAGCTGATAAGTCTGATTAGCTTCTCCTCTGCAGCAGAGGGAACTCTTTGTTTTCCACTCCAGGGTCCTCATGAGATCAAATTTTGAAATTTTGTTCAGGTGCAGTCTCAAAAACCACAGAAGCTCTTGGCATTTTCTTGATTGACTGTTCTGTTTTACAATCCATGTAAAGTATAACCAGTTTAGGCACAACTTGTCAAATGTCTTTCCAATATTTACAGCTGGAGTAATAATTTTTCATTATTTGCTAAATATTTTTCCATAGTTTTCCAGCCCTGGAAAAGTAATTAAATGCAGTGAAATTGTGAAAAGTTTTCAAAGATAATGGAATTTAGTTTTATTTTCTGTAATGCCTTAGTTAAGGTGTGTTACAACAAACTTCCATAATCTTCCACATAAGGTTTTAATGTCTGAATTTCTGGCAACATAACATAACGTACATTCATGTGTGACAGTGTCAATCACGACACACCCTCCAGCAGTAACTTTCCTGCCCCCAGTTTCTCCCTCTACACTACCTAACTGAAATGGACACCACGCCAGCTTAATTTTGTGACATGCCTGGCAAGTGTTTTTTTTTTTAATACAAACCAACATGACATTTGATAAAGCTTTGAAAAAAAGCTGGATGGATGAGGACTTGCACAAGAGCTCTGATGTTAGTAATATAGAGGAGGCAGTCTTCACAAGCCATGTTAATGGACTGAAATACATCCAATGTGACAAGACTGTGTAAAATGGTCCACAAATCCAAACATTTTTTCAACTGGACGAAAACCCAGGAAGGTAATGGCGGTCTACCTCTGACCAGAGTATGGTGAATATTACAGCTGTTAAGTAAAGCACATTAAAGTCAACATCTGGAACAATTGCTAAAGCAACTGTCCCTACTCAAACATGTTGGACACTTAAGGTAGTAGATTCATACAATTCAGACGGTGATGTCGGGGCACTGTTTTAAAAGATGTTTTCAGACTGCAAGATTGCTAGTCTCATTACATGTCTATGCACTAAAGCTGCTATCTCAGCCTTTTCAATGTTGCATGTGACTTGAAAGGTGGTTTTGTTACAGTGATATCCAGACTCGCTATGTTGTGTTATTGGAGTCACTGAATGATGAACTGCACCTAAAGTAAACAGGTTTACAGAAAATTGAGGGGTCCATGTGGATTAAGTTTATTTTAGGTTTGTCTTTGTTGAAGTACACAACCTCACTTGGTGCAATATTCCACGCCCATGGTTTCTCATACCATTGCTATGCTGATGATACTCAGCTCTTCCTATCATTCCCCCCAGACGACCAAACAGTCTCTGCCCAGATCTCATCATGCCTTGCAGACATCTTGGCATGGATGAAAAAACAACACCTTCAACTCAACCTCTGTAAGCCTGAGCTCCTTGTCATCCTAGCCAGTCCCTCTTTACAACAAGAAATCACATTGCTTGATTCAACCCAACTCAAACCCCAAATTCAAAACTCTGACACTTGCTAACAAAACTACAATGAGAACAGCTTCCTCCTACCTGAACTCTCTCATTTGGGTCTACACTCCCTCCCTCACTACGCTCAACCAACAAAAGTCGCCTGATACATCCACCACAACAGGGCCCAAGGTCGATAGCTAGGCTCTTCTCCTCTGTGATTCCCTGGTGGTGGAACGAGTTGCCAAACTCTGTTCAATCTGCTTATTCCCTCTCAGTCTTTAAGAAAAGACTGAAGATCCAGCTCTTCACTGAACACCTTTGCACTTGACAGACTAAAACTGAGAAAAAGCAAAACAAAAAAATGTCCTATTACCTCTCACACAGTCTGCTGTTGGCATCAATGCCCTATCACACTTGATCTGGTTCTATGGCACTTATTTATTGGTTTCTCTTGACTAGATCCTTGTTTGTGTTGTATCTGCTCTCAGATGAATGTTGCTTTGGATAAAATCTGCTAAATGAAATTGCACAAGTATGGGGGTGCTCCAATGCACAGTGATTAACGTTTTTTATTTGTCAACAACAACTCAGTTGTCACTCTGTACTCTTTACCTCTCTACCCATTCTACTCACAAGATTTGACTCACAATAATTTCTTCCTCTTCCCCAGAATTACATTTCGTCATTCTGACACTGTCTTAAGAGATTTTGCACTTATTACAGATGGTACTTGACCTGTTTACATTCCAGTGGTTCAGTTTATTTGGGTTCTCAGACACATTAGGACATTACAATAGAACTCTGCCTTGACAGTCTCACTCTGGGGGATTAATTCCCAGGGTGCAACCACGTGAATGTGAATGAAAGCGACAAGCATGCTCATGGTGCTCCTGAACTGATGGTGCAGTTTTGGAGACTGCAGCTCTTACAGTGTGAAAAGTGCGGTTTCTTCTATTGGTGGTAGCTACAGACCCACCTCTGGGCACCGGCACTGATGCTCTACATAAAGGCTGTATTCCAGCTGTTGACTGAGACAGAATGTAATGTTTGCTCAGTTTGACCTCCACTGAGAAAAGGACAGTTACTGTTCCTATGCTACATGCATAAGACCATGACCCTCTCTGGATGCACACCGCAGTATCACAACTTTCTGATCATCCCTTGTAAATGATAGAGAGAAATCCCACCCATCCTGATCTGTCCTGCTACAAGACACTGTGGATGGGGCCAGTGATGATGGTTATAGGACTCAGATAGATGGTCTCCAATCAGGTGCTGAGTCAGTGGTTGCTATGGTGATTCATGCCTCTCAAGGGGATAAGAAGGGCAAACTCAGCATTGCTGCATTCACAGGATTCACATAACCCTGTGTGAATCAGCATTCACACAGTAAATACAGATTTGGAACATGATAGCATTCATGCTGAATCAGCATTCACGCCATTTAGATAATGACACAGTTTGCTGATTAAGGCTAAGGGACAGAAAAAGAGAACAACCACAAAGCAATAAATACAGTATAGGGCGACACAAAAGTCTATCAGCGTAAGATCCATCCATCCATTATCTATTCACCACTTAATCCTCAGTAGGGTCATGGAGAGCTGGAGCCTATCCCAGCCAACTCAGGGTGAAGACAGGGGACACCCTGGACAGGTCACCAGTCTATCACAGGGTTACACATAGAGACAGACAACCAAGCACACTCGCAATCACACCTACGGACAATTTAGAATCACCAATTAACCTCATCGTGTTTCTGGACTGTGTGGGAGGAAGCCGGAGAACCCGGAGAGAACCCGTGCTTGCACGCGGAGAAAATGCAAACTGTACGCAGAAGGATCCCAGGTGTCCTCACCGGGATGCGAAACGGGGATCTTCTAACTTTGAGGTGATGGTGCTAACCACCAAGCTACCATGCAGCCTATAAGTAAAATCTGTTTTAAAAAAAAAAAAAAAATCATCATTGGTGTTGATAGTTTTGTGCTGACTTCAGCCAAACCTTGAGGGTGGTTTTAAACTCTGCAAAGCTTCCTGAGTCTCTAATGTTTGTGAGGACGGAATTCTACTTGATTACAGCTTTAACTGAGAAAGCACACAGACCAAAAGCTGTCTTTCTGAATGAGAGTACCCATTCACGCTGGTCATTGCAGCTGTCAGTTTGGCTGCAACTTGTGCTTTAGATTGTGCATCATTAAAAATCCCAGTATCATCAGCATACATCTGGACAGTGACACTTGGGCACACTCAATTTTGACAGCTTATTAAGTAAAATGTTATAATTAACAGTGTCAAATACCTGCTTAAAATCTAAAAATGTGACTCCAACATCACTACCTTTGTCAAGATAACATCAGATTTATTCAACAAGGAATCTTGCTGTTTCTGTGGAATCATGCTTAGCAAACAAAACTGCACTGGGTGAAAAGTACATTCCCTGTTGTTCAAGTGAGACACCAGCTCGTCACAGACCACCTTTTCAGCAATTTTAGAGGATACTAATGGGTCTGAAAGTTGGGGGGCTACATCTGTCACTACTTCAGTCTTCCAAGAAGAAGGGTAATGGGAGGTTGTTACTGTTAGATTAATCAGATCAGTCAATAGCTTAAAAAGGTTTGATTTGTAGAACTGCAAATATATACAAATATATAAAATGATATTCAATTATGTAACATTTATTTCAGCAGTATTTCTGTCAATTTGATGACTCCAGCTGGTTGGGAACATGCAAAAATGTCTGGAGATTTGGTTTGAAATACAGAAAAAAAAAATTTAATGAGGTTAATTGGTAATTCTAAATTGTCCATAGATGTGAATGTGAGCGTGCTTGTTTGTCTCTAAGTGTAGCCCATAGGGCTGGACCTGAATAGCAGAATAGCCGACTATTTGTTCGCTGTGCTGGAATCGGGATATCAATTCTGATCTCCGAATATCCCCCCACCCCCCTCGGCGGCAGCAACTGTTCAGTAAAGCCTCTTGTTAATAGCACACAGTTGTCCCACGTTATTTTGTTCAAGTTAAGAACACAATAGTGATAAATCCCACCACTGCTGTGTCGTCTGCGACACTGTATGCCAGGTTGTAAGAAAGAAGCTGTACACCAGCTTTGTGCAGGTTGACACTATCCGCGCCCTCAAATGTCCGTGAAGCCAGAACACATTAAAATTGTCAATAAAATTGTCATGCACACTGTGGGCTTGGCATGCTAATGAGAGCCAAGTGTTCAGGATGAGCAGTCTGCTGAACCAGCAGAACCCAAAGCCATGGAGTTGGTCCCGAGATGAAAACAGTGCTGGGTGTGCATAGACGGACATTAAAGAGTTGAATAAAGTCCTGTTTTAACAGTTCAGACTGCTGCTTCTGCATGTCATTTGTATCAACATGAATACTGATCCTGGTAACTTCAGGGTGGGATTTCATGATGTCTGGGGCTCTGTCTGGGACGAACTGAACTGTGAAACCTGAGAAACAGTGTTTACTTTCACATTTTGGATTGTTGAGTATCTAGAGATGAGTGTTGATGGAGGAGGTGGTTGAGGGTTGCGGGAAACTGTAGGACCACCCAGCTCGTCCAGAACCCGTGGCCCAGCAGGCAGTTGGGACAGGGAGGTGAAATTTGCCGGGGACCAGAATTGGTTTTTGATCCTGGGAGGTGGAGGAGACCAGTGCTGGGCCAAGCTTCCAAGGGGCCTGAAGCAAAACATGATTTTTGGGGCCCTCCACTGATGAAGATAACACTGATCAGTGTTCATTCACACACCTATTATAAACTTATTTCATTTTCTAATTTGTCATAGCGAATACACTGGTAAACCTTGATGCGAGACTTCTTGTTGTTAGATTGTAATCCACAGTGATAAAGGTCATTGAAGCTGATTTGCAAACTAGCAGAAAAATCTTACTATTAATATCTGGCAAAAGTCAGCAACTCTCCCTGTTGGCAGCACAGAGAAGCAATATATAAAACCTCAAAGAGCTGCACAATAGCAGCAGTGCTGTTTACAGCATCCTTTTATATACCAGGTATGTTTTCACCCATCTATGGCTTATAATCTGAAATGGTAGAAAATTCACCTACAAGTGAGGCCTGGGATTGATTTACACTTAATATTTAAAGTGACTTATTTGGCTGAGATATTGGTTGTCATAAGCCCACTAAAAGTAACAAAACAAACCAAAAGTCATCCATGTTAGATGTCATATTACCCTTGAAATTCTGTTTTGTTGTTAACTTACCAGGTAAATCAGCTGAGGTTATAGCAGGAACAGGGACAGAAGGTAGAGTGGGTGGGAGTGAGAGACAGAGCTCTTTGAAAGATGCAAGACACAACAACAGCAACAAATGTTAGCCATGTTAGATGTCATATGAGACATTAAATATGAAAACTCTTACTCCAGTGTGTTTTTCTTTGCAAATGCATTCACATGATATGCATTTATCTAAAAACAAGTCTCTTGTTATGTGATTTTGTATTGTAGTAAATCTTAATGACATCATTTGACTAGACAGTGACAGTTTTTTTCCTCACCTGATGCTTGAGTCTCAGCTAAGTCTGAAGTGGACTTCCCTGCCTGTCACTGCTTCCAGAACACTTTAACAGTGCTCCTGGTGAAGTTTCATATAAATTATGACCATATTAGTATAGAAAGACTGTTCATTTTACCCACATAAATGACCATGCTCTGCAGCAAACAATTATTGTAAACAACACATATCGATCTATAACTTATATGAATAGGCCTACATTAATATGGTTCTTGCCAGCGTTATAGCAGCGTAACGGCCAGTTATGCTGCTGCCTGAAAAAAACATTACGCTGCAAATTGGGCCGATATGTTTTTGAGGGTATGTAGTGGGAAAATTATAATTTCTGTACATCGATTGTACCGGGTTAACTTACATATATTCAGGCAAATATGCAACAACATGCGCTATGCAATTTCTCCACTGTCGTCTTTGCTGCTATTCATTAGCAGTGAAGACGCTAATGTATTCGCTTATGGGGGGTAGTGTCGCTAAGACACACCCCCCCCCCCCGCGCGCGCGCTGTCAAAAGTTTCTGGTGAAACCCCTAATGTTTGCAAGTCATTTTTGATGCCAAATGTTTTGGAAAAAGTGACCCAGAGTATTGAGAATCACCTTAATCACAGTTAAAGCAAAGCATTACACAAACACAAAACCTTAGTTGGAATAGTAACCTAATAGTTATTAACTGGCTAGCTAGTTAGTTATTATAGGCTACACTCAACCAGTTGGATTAAAATGTCAAGGATATTCAGGGACTTTTTTTTTAACTTGAGGAGGTTACCTTTATCTTGCTGTTTTTTCTCCTCTTCCTCCTTTTTCCTCTGTTATTTCCCCCCTGCTCCCGAGGGATACGTCCTTTTTTGAGACATTTTGCTCCTCAACCTGCTCTTGGGATGAGCTCTGCTGTGCACGCAGCACACCTGGTTGCAGCGAAGCACTGAGCTCAAAACAGAGGGAGTAGAATCACTACACCAGCAGATCTCTTTTTACATAATACTGGGTTTTTATACAACGATATAACTTTGATAATACATGGATCATCACTCAAACATGCAAAAAAATTGTAATCTAATTTCAATAATAAAAGTGTACAAATATTTTTTTTAAAAAAGTGAACTGCTCTTGGAGGCCCCCTACTGGTGCCCTAAGTAGGTGCTTCATTCGGTTATGCTCTGGGTAAATGGAGCCATGGCATATGGGCCCGGTGTGTTTCTCTAAAACCCACAATCTAGACCGATGATTGAGTGAAGTTCCTTTTCACAGGTAAAAAGACATGATTTAAAAACAACCACATTTCTAAAAAGATAAGATAAAAACCTGTTTTAGAGAGAGCTAAGCTTACTGTTACCTGCCACCAAAACAAATGACAGGCAACAGGAAGTGGAAGAGAAGTGCATTTGAAAAAATTTACAACGTATTTATGTGATGGTTTATTAAACTCTGGAACTGTTGTCATACTTCAAAATAGGTTATCCTTAAATTAACCCAACTAAACAAAGGCTTAACAGGCCATTCCAGACCTCACCACCAACACTTTCCAGCTCATCCTGAGGGATTCCAAAGGTGTTCCCATGCCAGATGAGATATGTAATCCCAGCAGTGAGTTCTGAGTCATGCTTGGAAAACAATGGAAGGTGCCCAGGAAGCCCAGCCACCCTACAGAAAAAAAAACAAAACATTTTGGCTATTTTTATCTGTAATCTCATTCTTTTGGTAACTACCCTAAACTGTATAACACAGATGGATGTAGTAACTGTCAAGTCACCCACTGGTTTCTGGACTGAGAAAGTGAAGCCAGGAGTTGACTACTTCCTGGCTGCCATCTTGGAGCCAGAGATGAAAAAAGAGTGACAGAGCAGTGATTGGCTAGACTGAGACCCAAGGACACTCTGCCTGCTCACCTTTACTGGCTGCTGATGTGTTTACCTATGCTGTTGCCAACAATGTTAGCCTCCAAAAGTCGAGCTTAACTCAACAGGTAAAGTCATCTTAGTAACATATTGTATTCTTGTCCACATCTGGATAATATTACATACAAAAGCAGTGAACTACGTTATTGTAATTGAAGTTACTGTGTATGAGTTAACATTAGGCTTGTGTAACCTCTGGTGGTCAAACATGTTCTGAGATTGTGTTTTCAATTTGTTCTGGACATCTCTGGTTATGTTTAGTAAGTGTTAACAGTGATGCAAAAGTGGGTTTGTCAACGTGCTAAATTAGTTACCTGTTAGCCATAACTAAGTTTCCTGTAGGTCATACCTAATCAATCTTAAAAGATTAATAACGTTATTACAGTCTTTTAATTGTCCCCGACTTGACATGCTGTTCATTAGTAATCAGCAGATAGAAATTAAGCTAAGTTAACGTAACTCCAAAGAGAAGTTACTGCTGAATATATTGTCTCCATTCAGTGAATGAAGGACAGTTTAGTTCTGTGAGTTCATATTACCATTCTTTGGTTTAGTGTGGGCTGTTTTCAGCTTCAGTTCATTTCACTGAAAAAATCATGTGTTGAAGTGATTCTTTCTCTTTCAGAAAAAGTCGTGTTACTGAAGACTAGTCACCATGATATGTGCATCACACTGAACCACAGAGGTGAGCTAAGTGTTAACCCAATTCTTTAGTTGGAAGCCCAAGAACAAAGCAGAGAAATCTTCAGTTCACAGATGTAGAATTTATTTAGGTCACAGGTAAAGTGAGGCAGCTTGGCTTGGAGTGACATGGCTCTCGCGAGAGCTCTATCAGAAGGAGCCCCAAAATCTGGAAATGATTCACATTTACCTTCTTGGGCTGGACTTTGACTTGTAAGCAGTTGAGGTTAATTGGCCAGTTACTGTGAAGTGGACAGGCCAACCACTGTTCACGTGGAAGTTTACTGAAATGTAAACAGAAATTGCTTGGATTGAATACTAAGTGTGTGTGTGTTGTCCAAAAGATGTATATCTTAAGTAACTGATAGAATAGAGGAATTTCCGCTGTCTCCCAGTATGTGAACCAGTTCTACCCGGCCATGTGGACCACCACCTCACAGCTTGGATTGTAGACGGCTTCACCAACTGTCCACAGTAAACAGTTTTCACAGATACTCTACCTTTCTACCTTAGTGGTTCTCAAAGAGCTTTACAATGTGTTTCTCATTCACACAAGTCACACACACATTCATACACCAATGGTGACTGAGCTTCCATGCAAGGTGCTGCCTGCCATTGGGAGCAACTTCGAGTTTAGCCTCTTACCCAAGAACACTTCCTTTGGGCATCTGTGGCTCATGTGGCAGAGTGGGTTGTCTTCTAATCTCAACATTGAATGTTCGATCGCCCACCCCTCCACAGTCGAAGTATCCTTGGGCAAGACACTGAACCGGAATTTGCACCTGAATTTGAGTGTGAATGCGTGAATGAGAAACACATTGTGAAGCGCTTTGAGTACCACTAAGGTAGAAAGGTGCAGGCGATTTACCATTACTTCTGACAACCTTGCATTTAGAGGACAACCCGCTCTACCACCTGAGTCACAGCCGTCCACAAGCATGCAAGGCTATAGGGCTGTCTATCCGACATGGCTGTCTGCAGTATGCCACAGGGAACAGTCCTGGTTCCCTTCCTCTTTGCCCTGTACATGGCAGACTTCCCGTACAACTCAGTCGACGGTCACCTGCAGAAGTGTTTTTAAAACTCTGCGACCCTGAGCTCTGTGGACTGGTGCCAGCAGAGCCACCTCCAGATCAATGTTGGGACAACCAAAGAACTGCTGGGGAGCACCATTTCCACAGCAGACAGGAAGAGACTCAACAAACTGATTAAGAAGGCCAGCTCTGTCATGGGATGTCCCCTCAAACCAGTGGAGATGGTGTGAGACAGGAGGATGATGGCTATCATCTGGGTTGGAGAACACATCCCACCCTCTGGAGGAGACTTTGACAACACTGGGCAGCTTCAATGACAGGTTGCTTCACCCGCCATGTGTGATGGAGAGATACTGCAGGTCCTTTCTTCCTGGTGCTGTTACTGTACAATAAGCATCATCATCATTGTACTTAAAAACCCTGCGCAATTGTAGCTGAGTAAATATTTGATTCTGAAATATAATGCATTTTATTTTGGTGAACATTCTCAAAACGAGAATGTATTATTTTTGGTATTGTTAGAATTAAGTATGTTTCGAGCTATTATGTATTCTGAATCTGTATTTTGCACTGAGCCTATGATTCTGTTTCATGTTTTCCTACTGAGAACAGCATATGTCCTTGAAGATAATATGGCCGGTGATAGCTGGTTCGCACACTTGGAGACAGCAGAAACTCCTCTTTTTTATTAGATACGATTGTTACTTTAGCTACACGCCGTACCAACAACATCCACACACGTTGCTTACCAAAAATGTCAAGGACGTGGACAGAGCACAGAAGTATGCCTGTCCACGCCATTAGTAACTGGCCAATTAAATCTTATCTATGATGGGGGCAGGCCCAGCCCAAGAACATATCTGTGACCTGGAACCGAAAACACTCAGTTCAGCTGGACATGAGATTCCTCTCTGTCCCTCTGAATTCCAGCGCTGCCTCACTTTACCTGTGACTGAAATAAATAAATTATACAACTGAGAACAGAAGATTTCTCCGGCTTGTTCTTGGGCTTCCAACTAAAGAATCGGGTCTAACACTATTATTATTGTTATTTTTCTTTGTCATTTTTGTGATTCTTTAGGCCACTAGTTGTATATTTTTGTAAATGGTTCCAGATTACCTCTTGTAGCAAGGGGGTCGTTAATTAGTGACGCACATGTCCAAGGCATGTGTGACGAAGCTGTGTGTTGCCAGCAAAAGCTGGTCAGCTTCTGTTATGGTAAGACGTGTGGTAATGCTCTTTTCTAATTGTTAAGCTAGCAGCTCTAAAATATTGTTTAAGCTGTTTAAGGTGTCAAAAAACTTATCTGAATGATATTAATGACATTCAAGTGAATTTTAATTTAAATTTTGAGCGGTAAAAGTAGCGTTTTAAAACTTTTTTTTATGATAATTACCTCAGAATTTTGCCCTCATTTGTGTACGTGTTTGGCCTGCTGCAGGAAAGAGAGACTACACTGCCTGCTTATGTGTGCGCGAATGACGCGACTGAGCGAGTTATTCACACGAATGACATGATTCTCACCGTGTTAAACGTACATATGATGCAAATTCGTCATCCAGGCACAGTCTTTTTAATAATATCACACTGAGTTACAATTTGCAGTAGTTATTTTGCAACAAGGAATCTAATCTGGAAAATTCTGCTTCCAGAGTCTGTAATCTAGCTGATCTTTCCAGGTTTGAAGAAAATAAAATGGCACTGCCTCTTATGAATCCTTTGATTGCATCCCATAATATCTGAGTATCACTAACTGTGCCCAGTCGTAAAGAATTCTTTTAGCTTGACCAGAAACTGTGATCTATACTTCTCAATATGTAAAAGAGTATTATTAAGGCGCCATCTCGGGGCTCTTTTGGATAAACTGCCCAAAGCAGCACAGCACAGACCCCCTTTATGGTCTGACAGAGTGATGGGGAGTAATAATACACTATCCACCTTTGTAAGAGTTTGGGTGAAGAAAAAAGAAAGTCAATCCTTGAGAAAGATTTATGTCTGGCTGGAAAAAAAGCATAATCTTTCATGGAAGGATTAGAAGACTGCCATATGTCGACAAGACTCAAACTGTCTGCCCAAGATCGCAATGCAGCAGTAGCCACTTCATGTTCCCTAGATGCTGCTGAACTTGACCAGTCATTTGCATGCCAGACTACATTCATATGTGCCCCAACCAGGAATGGGTATTCATTTGATATTTCCCACATTTTCCAAGTGAGAACATTAAAAAAATCGTTATCAAATGTGTTTGGAGCATAAACTGATATGAGAGCTAATTTCCTCCTATATATTTCTACATTGGCTACAGTTATTCTGCCTTCAATATCAGCTCATGTGTCCAGCACCTTGATTGTCAGTGTGCGTCTAACCACAATAGCAACTCCTTTTGTTTTTGTAGTAGCTGACGAAGAGGCAATATTGTGGCAAAATTTATCAGCTAGCCGGCTACAATCTTTGCTCAGCAAATGTGTCTCCTGTAAAAGGGCTATATCAATTTTCTTGCGACGAAGTAGCGATAACACACTAGTCTGTTTATAAGGTGCATTCAACCCATCACAGTTCCAAACTAGTACAGATAATTCACCCATTGTCAAATAAATTCCTCAAAGTAAGCAAGGTCAACTTTGGTGTTGTGAAGTATGTATCACATAATGAGATAAATACTGAGCTTGTACATTCTTCAGAAACGGTCCCAGATGGCAAATTAAATAAAGAAGAAACAAACAACAAAAAAAAAAACACAGATAAAACTAGAACAACTTAAACAGAAAGTAACCCCATAATTCCTAACTTGATCTGTGACCTAGTATAGATTGGGGCTGCAAAAGACCAAGTAACCAACCCAGTTTTAGTGAACATATAAACCGTTGTTAAGAGGAAAAATATATAAACAGCTAAACTCAGTAAAAGCTGTGATAAACTCAGACTCTTATAGAAAGGCTAATATATAACACACTGTACATCTAACAGGCTCCAGCCCCCCTAGTGAGGATTAAGCGGTGTATAGATAATGGATGGATGGATGGATGTACATCTAACTGGATGACGTCCATTCCAGACTGACATTAACAAAAATCCACTGGCGTGTATTTTGATATGAAAAACAAAACAAACAAAAAAAAACTTTCAGACCTGTAGGCTTTCGAGGAGGTCCGAATATGACCAAGAGGTCATGCACGGCCAAATAAAATAAAATAAAAGTGGCAGCTCACAGCAGACTTCCATTTCAGACCGAGATTAAAACTTAAAATCCTGTGATAAAGTTGGCAGAAGTTCCAGTTAGTGGTGAGCACACACACTCACCGGCCACTTTATTAGGTACACCTTGCTAGTACCGGATTCGACCCCCTTTTGCCTTCAGAACTGCCTTAATCCTTCGTGGCATAGATTCAACAAGGCACTGGAAACATTTCCCAGAGATTTTGCTCCATATTGACATGATAGCAACACGCAGTTGCTGCAGATTTGTCGGCTGCACATCCATGATGCGAATCTCCCGTTCCACCACATCCCAAAGGTTCTCTATTGGATTGAGATCTGGTGACTGTGGAGGCCATTGGAGTACAGTGAACTCATTGTCATGTTCAAGAAACCAGTCTGAGATGATTCACGCTTTATGACATGGTGTGTTGTCCTGCTGGAAGTAGCCATCAGAAGATGGGTACACTGTGGTCATAAAGGGATGGACATGGTCAGCAACAATACTCAGGTAGGCTGTGGCGTTGACACGATCCTCAATTGGTACTAAGGGGACCAAAGTGTGCCAAGAAAATATCTCCCACACCATTACACCAGCAGCAGCAGCCTGAACCGTTGATACAAGGCAGGATGGATCCATGCTTTCATGTTACTGACGCCAAATTCTGACCCTACCATCCGAATGTCGCAGCAGAAATCGAGACTCGTCAGACCAGGCAACATTTTTCCAATCTTCTACTGTCCAATTTTGGTGAGCCTGTGCAAATTGTAGCCTCAGTTTCCTGTTCTTAGCTGACAGGAGTGGCACCCGGTGTGGTCTTCTGCTGCTGTAGCCCATCCGCCTCAAGGTTCGACGTGTTGTGCATTCAGAGATGGTATTCTGCATACCTCGGTTGTAACGAGTGGTTATTTGAGTTACTGTTGCCTTTCTATCAGCTCGAACCAGTCTGGCCATTCTCCTCTGACCTCTGGCATCAACAAGGCATTTGCGCCCACAGAACTGCCGCTCACTGGATATTTTCTCTTTTTCGGACCATTCTCTGTAAACCCTAGAGATGGTTGTGCGTGAAGATCCCAGTAGATCAGCAGTTTCTGAAATACTCAGACCAGCCCGTCTGGCACCAACAACCATGCCACGTTCAAAGTCACTTAAATCACCTTTCTTCCCCATTCTGATGCTCAGTTTGAATGGCAGCAGATTGTCTTGATCATGTCTACATGCCTAAATGCATTGAGTTGTTGCCATGTGATTGGCTGATTAGAAATTTGCGTTAATGAGCAGTTGGACAGGTGTACCTAATAAAGTGGGCGGTGAGTGTACATCTTCAGTGGAGGCCAGTTAAAGCTGTACTCTCACACAAACACACAGTGGCGGGTGCGTAACCCTAGCTATTGTAGAGTCTTAGACCAAAATAACATTAAAAGAAAAGCAGCACAGGTGAAAGAAAATAATATAACCTACAGGCCAGAGCTTGTCAAATAGGAAATTCCATATCGGCGTCCGTTACAGTGGTGAAACAGCATCATATTCACATATATAGGCGCACAATCTGACACCAGTTCCCTACTGCCTTCCTCATCCATGTCAGGTGTCCTCTGTGTCGGTAGAGATGCGATGAATTCCACTGCAACTCTTGGATCCTGGAAGGATTTTGTCTGGCCAGCTGCTTTCACCTTTAGTATGGCGGGGTAAAGGAAGAAAAACTCCACTCCTTTATTACAGGCTGTGTTCATGGCATGGAGATTTTTTAGCAGCACACAGGATGTCTTGTCGGGTTGTGTAGTGGAGGACATTGAAGATCATTGTGCGCGGGCCGTCTTGCTTTCTATCGTTGGCACCGTAGACACAATGTGCAAGCATGATTTCGCCCTGAAGTTTACTGAGGGAAGGGAACCATTTTGGAAGCAAGTGTGTGAGATATTGAGCTGCATTAGAGCCCTCCAGTCTTTCTGGCAGGCCAGTGATTCGCAGGTTGCATCTCCTGCTCTGATCCTCCATGTCCATGTGCTTAAGCTGCATTGTCTCGAGCGTAGCGTCGTACGTGGCTAACTGCTCGTTGTTGTTTTGTACTTCTGACCAAATCTTGCCAATATCCACGTTCATTGTGTTGATATTCTCAGTAAGGGCCACCAAATCACACTGGATGGCCTCCAGTTTCTCCTCACTGTCCTTGCCGATCTTTTGGAGTTGGTCAAAGCGAAAGTCAAGGTAATCACATTTCTCCAGCACGGCTTCATTTCAAACTCTCCTGCATTATCTTGTGTTGTCTGTTGACAGAATGGAACTCTTTTCATACATTCTCTGAGTTCATAGACAGGGATATCTTTACTCACTTGACGCTCAACTGTAGGGACAGTATCCTCCCAGTGGTTTCTCAGTTTTCTTGGGCCTCCACGCTGTGTCATATTACTGATTAAAAGACGATCATCAGGCTGTAGTACTGAACTTTTCACCCCACTGTCATCACAACACTTGCTTCTTGATGCAATTTCTGAGCATTTTCCCTCTTGATCTCATATGCTTCTTCCATACCTGTTTCCACTTTCCCATGTAGCTCAGAAAATTACTGTCACCCTGCTCTGGAGTCAGACTGAATAGCACGTCACCTGGGAACCATAGGGAGTGTCCATACAACAGATAGAAGGGTCAGAACCCAGTCACTATACTCCGAGTGCAGTTGTATGCGTACATCCCTATAATACTATACTTCTATGTCACTCTGGAAGCACAAACCATTTCCTCTTTGCTGCTTTCCTGTACAAGATTCCACTCTCATCAATCCCCAGCTTGTCCCAATCTCTGGAGATGCATGCTTCCTGTGGGCTGAGTTGCTTAAGTTGTTGGCCAGATGTTTTGTTTCCTGTCAGCTTATTGCTGGATCAGTGGTCCCACCATCAGATCACTTCTTTGGTCATCCTTGATTTGTCCTGAGGCATCAGTATGAAGAATAAATGGCTGGGAGGATTCTGGGAAGGCTAGGACAGGAGGCTGAGTTCGACAATCTATCAGCTGTTCCAATTTGATTGATGTTTGTCAGTCCATACAATGCGTGTACTGGACGGTACTCCTCTTCTTCATCTTTTTGTCAGCCCCTTCTTTTTCTTGCTTGGTAATGTCTCAGTCTCTGTAGGTGCCTTGAGCAGGTCATATGAGTGGCTCGCAATGCATGAGAAGTCTTTAATATACTGTTTATAATAGCTCAACAGTCCCAGGATTGCGCTTGACTCATCAACATTACTTGGTGGCTTCTGTTTTAGGGCTGTTATGGCAGCACTATCAGCAGGATCCATCCTGCTTCCCTCAGCAGACACAATCCTCCCAAGGTACCGCACTTCTGTTTTGAACAGGTGACACTTTTTAGGTTTTAGTTTGATTTTATTTTATTTAAGCCCTCTAAGCATTCCTTCATGCGGCACTGGCATGCTGCAGCTGCATTCATGGGTCCAAATGGGATTTACACCCACTCATATGGGCCCCAGGGTGTCACAAAGGTTGTTAAATGCTTGCCGTCCTTGGCCACGAACGATAAGCCTTACTCTGGTCTAGAGGTGAAAAGAGTCATGTACCTCTAGGTTATCCAATATGTCCTGTACTTTGGGGATGGGGTGGCAATGGGGGTGTGTCTATTTCTTGAGGTCCCTGTAGTCAATGCAGAGGTGCAGACTACCATCCGTTTTCCTCATACAGACAACAGGGAAGGAAGAAGATTTTTCAACCTTTCCTTGTGCTACCAAATCTTGTAAATAGCCCTTAATCACTTTATATTGTGGTTTTGGCAGAGAAAGGTTTTTGACACTGGCTCATTGTCTCTTAGTGTAATGTCCATTTGCAATTTTTCCACACAGCCAATGTCATCATCAGACCTGGAAAATGACCCAGACTCTTAACATTTGACTGGTTATTTGTTTCTGCAGTTCATTAATGTGGTCTAAGTCAACAAGAGGGTCCTATCATTCATGGGCAAGAGTGCTTCCACTGGATCTTTGGGCCTGGATGTGATGAACAGATGTAGTAGATGGAGAGTTGACTGGATATACTGACTTCACTAGTTGTACAGTTCCAATGACTGTCAATGACTGTCTTTCCTGGGAGCGTGATGTCGTGGCTAGTGGGGTTTTGCACACTTATAATGATTTTTGGGGCCCTTCCTGCCTGTACAGACAGAAGGGTGTCACTGAACCCCAGCCCTTCTGGTTCTTGTGGGGCTCAAAAATCCTCTCTGAAGGGTGGGACCTGTATTTGATATCCAGTCTGAAGGGAGCTACATTTTGGTATGCTGACTCTTGCATTCACCGTCCTCACATTATGCTCGCACATCTGTCCTATACTTACAGTACTCATCAAGGATTTTGCTTCGCCTAAGGTGACGAAATGCAATTTTGAATGCATTCACATGCCTGTCTTTGCCCCTATGCTTGACTGGGTCTTCCAGGCTATTCAGCATGAGGCATTTCAATGACATTAAGGGATTAGCATTTCATTATCACTGGCAGTAAGTTGTCACAACCCAGCAAATAGATTATGGCAAAAGAGGGGAGACAACACAAGTATTGCCAGATTTAACGTAAGCTTTTATTAATTAGTTAAATCAATGCTGTCAAACTGAGGTGTGTATGTCAGTGATGTCAGTAGTGTAGGTGCAGATTTCTGGATGCTGGGATGTGATGTGGTGCGAAGTGTTGTCTGATGCGTAAACCAAACCAAAATGACACCAAACCAAATCGCAAGCATGGAAGAGAGAGAGAGCAGGAGCTGAGGGGTTGGCCCTTTTATAGCCTGGGAGCGCTGGGCCCAAGCGTGCCAAGCAGGTAGGACCGCCCACTCAGTCTCCAGCAATCTAGGGACCTGAGGAAACAGAGCCAAACACAGACAGCCAATGTACCCAACCAACAGACTAGGTGGGGCTGTCACAAAGTCTAAAAGTCACTTTAAGCCAGCCCACATACAGCATTTCTGTATCATGGGCTGCCTTTATCAATAAGGGATCAGAAGGGCCAATAAGTTGTTTTACATCTCTTAGCTGCACATCTGGTAAGTGGTTTTCTTTCCATGCTTCATCTATGGCACAAACTTGTGACACTGTGCCCCAAAGTGCCTGGGTTTTCAGTTTGTGCAGGAAACACCTAATAAGACACTTCTTCCCAAATAACTCCCTTATTGTGCACATTTTGTCTGTTGTGATCTTTTTCTTTGGCCTAGCAGGATAGCATGTGGAGAGCAAGCAATAGGACAGAACAATAGGTATGAATATCCATCCATTATCTACACACTGCTTAATCCTCACGAGGGTCGTGGGGGGGATTTCAGCAGCGGTCGGACCATGCTCAGACGCCAGACTTTTGTACCACGCAGTCAGTCTTAGTTTTTGCACTCGTCTAGCCGCTTACTGCTCAACTGGTAACTAACTCTTGTTTTTCCTCTGCCCAGCTGGATCTGCCGCCGACCGCTGCCACTCCAACGCTTCACCACTCACTGACCATCTCTCCCCTCGTCTCCATCGATCTGCAGCCGGACTCCGCACCGCACCTGTCTGCCTTCACTCATGGTTCAGCTGCCCTCCGGTTCCCTCCGCCACAAGCTGTTGCTCCCCCGCACTCTCTCCATATTGAGACAGTTAAGCCTGTTTACCTCCCTGTCAGTAGTTTTTGTGTTTATCGTAAATCTAGTGTGTTTCATAGCTCGTCATAGATTTGTTGTGTTATCTGTGCCTCGTCAGTGTGATCTTTATGAGCTCTGTTCTAGCCCGTGAGCAAGTTCCTGTTTGTTAGGCTTTTCCTGTTTAGCCAGTCTGTTATCTCAGCATTTTAGTCTGAGCGCCTTATGTTAGTGTTTTGTTACCTACCAGTCAGTTCTCTCAGCACTGTAGTCTGAGCACCTTTTGTTAACGTTTGGTTTATCTGCCTTTCTGTTACTCAGCACTTAGTTGAGCTCTTTGTGTTAGTTTGGTATTTTATCAGTTTTGTTCCTGGCCTGGTATTACCTGGTTCTGGTTGAGTTTTTTGATATTGTGCTTATTGGATTCTCGTCTTTCGTAAAATAAATTACTAAAGCTGATTCAGTCTACTGTGTCTTCGTTGTTCTGCGCCTGAGTCTAAGGGTATTATCTACACACCGTTTAATTCTCAACAGGGTCACAGGCGGCTGGGGCCTATCCCAGCTGACTCAGGGTGAAGGCAGGAGACACCCTGGACAGGTCACCAGTCTATCACAGGGCTACACTTAGAGACAGACAACCAAGCACACTCACATTCACACCTACAGACAATTTAGAATCACCAACTAACCTCAACATGTTTTTGACTGTGAGAGAAAGCCGGAGAACCTGGAGAGAACTCCAGCCCTCCAAGAGAACTCCAACATGCAAACTCTGCCAGACCTCACTGGGACACAAACTGGCGGCCTCCTAGCTGCGAGACAATGGTGCTAGCCACCGAGCCACCTTGCAGCAACGGAATGATTCATTAAAAGAGCCATGATTTTTATGCATCCAAGCCAGCAAAGGCTTAGGTCAGAGGCATTAGTTTTATGGGTTGTTTGTCTGTCCAACTGGAGGTAAACTGCAACTTCACTGGTTGACAGATGCACACAACTGCAAAGCAGTAATTCTAGTTGAATACACAGACTTGTTTAGTCTTTCTCCTGCAATCTTAATGTGTACCTGCTGGCTTTGTCACCCATAACTTGAGTATTAGGCACACACACACACACACACACACACACACACACACCCAAACCTCTGCACTTGCGCACACACAGGTACACACACAGAGGCACTCACTCACAGCAGTCCTGCATGCAGTAGCAGTGCAGCCATCCTCCTCTGTCTCGCCCTCCATCTCTCCCCTCTCTCCTTCTCTCCTCCCCTCCCTCTCTCTCTCTCTTTCCTCCTCCTCAGTCTTGCTCGGTGTCCGCTCTGTCAACAGCTCTTGCATCTCTTTCTATCTCTGTATCTCTTCATCGTTATTATCTATCACCATGCGTCTCGGCATCTCCTCCTTTATTTCGGATATCCTGAGCACCTCCAGTAACATCTGTTTTTGCTGGACCGAGGGCAAGGTAGAGTAAAAAACCTCCTCCACCAATACCACCACCACCACCCTGCTGCTGTGCTCTTGAGCAAGGCAGCAGCAGGGCTTAGGGCCTCTGGGTGCTGCTGGGAATGCACATGCTTTAATTTGAATACATGATGTTCCAGTGGCTGCTGTTTGGGGTTCATTGTTTGTGTATGCAAAATTTGTGGAAGTTTGGCTTGCTCAGATCTTTACTATTGGTTGACATTACAATGTGATACAAAATATAGCACACATTTGTGCATCTATACAGTAAATGCTTGCATTTTTGTGTTGAGAGGGGAACTGTACAAGGTTAACACTGGGTTTATAGAAGATAATGTGGTGTTTAGTGTTATTTGCAATGACACCCAAGATTGCTATGTGGTGATGGACGCTAGAATCTTTGCCTGATTAAAAAATGTTAGTGTTTGAAATATAAAAGTACAACTTCAACCCTATTACACTACTGGAACCTGAAACAAATTTATTTATTGCTGATGATCAGATCAGTTTCATCTCTGCACATCTTGTGCCATTATGTCTGGATCTAGAGTACCACAAATTAGGGTTTGGCTGGTATATATATATATANTATATATATATATATATATATATATATATATATATATATATGTGTACCAGCAAAAAACACTTCATTAACAGCAGTAAGAAAATAGTTAAATAAAGAGTTCAGTAGTTTTATTTAAAGACCCCTTCTGGTGTAAATCAAGTTTCATACGGTCATTTAGCCTATATGTTTTTTAAATTTGCGAATGCACGTGAAACAGCTGTGAACGCCCTTGGATACATCATTGTTGTTATTTCTAGTCTGTAGGAGGATTGGAAGATTCTGATCGATTCATGCACAGTAGGTTGGCTTTACCTTTTCTACACATACATAATACGTCCTTGCAGTGTAGTCACTATGCTAACACAAATTTTGGGCTACAAGCAGACAAGTGCTGAGGGGTCCAAAAAGACACTTGCAGACATGGTGAAAATGACAAAATTGACATCACGCAGACCCTGGCAAATGTATAACACCAGCCTAAGAAGTTGACACCATGACTGAGCATTTCTACCCTGAAACTGCAGTGTACTGATGTCGGCCTCTGTTCAGTCTCTGAAAACGGATTAAGACTTCCTGGACTTCATACATATCAAACCTAAGGACCTAATCCTGTCAGGGTTGAACTTTCCAGTGGCTCTGGTTGGGTTGAGTGGGTTGGCTCTAATCACAAAGGTTGGTGAATGGTGTAGGAATTAACACACCACGCCATTACATTACCACCACCATGTTTCACCGATGGGGTGGTATGCTTTGGATCTTGAGTAGTTCCTTCTCTTCCCCATGCTCTTCTCTTCCCATCATTCTGGTAAAAGTTTATATTTGTCTCATCTGTCTATAGGATGCTGTTCCTCAACTGCACAGGCTCTTTTAGATGTTTGTTTGTTTGTTTGTTTGTTTTTGGCAAACTCTAATCTGGTCTTCCTGTTTTTGAGGCTCACCAATGGTTTACACCTTTTGGTGAACCCTCTGTATTCACTCTGGTGAAGACTTCTCTTAATTGTTGTCTGCACTTAAACACATCTTGATTACTTCATTTCATAGAGTCAAAATGCTAAAAAATTGTGTCAATGATGAAATATTGGTGGAACTGAATGTAGCATCAGTTTCTGGCTTGAACATGTGGGACTGAATTCGTCCATTATCACAATTTGCCATTGTGTAGTGTACAGTAGTTTTACAGTGTTCGAGCTGCCATGAACTGGGATGGCTGGCTGGAAAAAGAGGAAGGGACTACCTAGATCCATGCATTCCAGAGGAAGCAACAGGGTAGAGTTACATCTAAGCAATTTTAAGGCAGGAAGGGGTTATTTTATTGGAAAACTTTGATACAAAGCAATGAGTTTCTAGGGCTTTAATCAATGAGGGACAGGGACTTTCAGTGCATTCGATGAAAGCTGCTTTGAAAGCAGATAATGATAGTTATGTTTGTATGAGCAAAGCCCACGTGTGCTTCCTCCCTGGTTCACAAAAGCCTATCATACCTTAAAACTGGAGCCTCTTCATCCATCGTTGCTCTTGTTGTTGGTTCCAATGCAAGTCTCCTGGGGCACACTAGTTCACAGCTGCCTGGGCCTCTCATTGCTTGGCCAGCATCTCAGAACCTTAACCTTAGTGCTAAGGTTTATTGTGTTAACATTAGAATGATTATCTGTGTACCATGATAAATATAGTGGTTATATTCAAAGTAAACCTTTTTTCGCCCAGCTTTATTAAAATAGATAACAGAGCTAACTTCAAATGAAGCATTTTGTCCACAAACAACGGATCATAAATTGTGGAAGCAGGGAAAACTGCTAAGCCAGCAACATAGCAAATTCGAACATATACACTTTAAAAAATATACCTTCTGTATTTTGTTAGCTCGCAAGCTAATCATCGTAATCACATATTATCATACTGACTAACAGAAGCAAGACTGTACTATAGCAGTAATCCCTAACTGCCTTAGCCGAGGTCTTAGCAGCTTGGTTGACTAACTCACTATGAAGCAACTGCAAACAACCTAAATGCCATGAATGCACTGGTGTGTGGTACACAAGGATACACGCTTGATGATTAGGATATATTTCTATTAAATGGAAATGCCTATGCCTATCTAACCACATCCTTATGGTAGCTCTGTACTTATATATGAAGAGTTCATTTGCAAAAACAGATAACTCAATTTTTGTATATTTTCAGAATTTTTTTGTTGTTGTGTTGTTTGCTTGAGATAATATCAATCAAACTGGAGTTGTGTCGATTTGACTCAGTAGAAATGACACGACAAAAATAGAGATAACTGAAGTTTGATTGATATTGTCTCAGATAGACGATGGAAAAGTGGGTTTTCGAAAGGTTTGTGAAGATAGAGTTATCTGTTTTTGCAAATTAACTCTTCATATACTTAGTAATATTTTACTGACACAGAGCATATTATCAAAAATAAGTTAAAAAAATCAGAAAAAATAGAAAACTCGATGAATTTGTATCTTTGCACGTAACAGTTTTATTTATCATTGAATTTCGTGCAAAAGGACATTTCAGATTTGCTGCGTGAGAGCTTTTGTATTCCCCTATCCTCTGTCCAGGTCTTCTTTAGTAAACTTATCAGGGTATTGCCTTTCATTTGACCACTTATCAAGTAAATTTCTCATTTGGGTTTAAACTGTCATCTGGAGTTATACCCCACCTTCTCAGTTAATTTGTGTGTGCAGCTGAAGAATGCTATTACATGTTTGGTGGTAATATACATATGACCTGCATTTTGCTTAGAAGCTTTGCAAGGGAGTAATAATTTCACGGTCTATCTCAAGTACTGGGGTATGACAAGAGATGTGGTTGTGTGCAAGCGTATGATCAGAGTGACAAGAACAAAGACATGATTTCATTGACAATGACAGACACTGGGCGTGGATTTGTATGTGGATAACAGAAAAAGAAGACATACACAGATAAATATCAAGAAACTACAATTTTTCGTATGTCTGCATATGTGTGTGTGTGTGCATGTTTTAGATAGATGGATTTGTCCTGAGACTGAAACAGTATTAAGATTCAGTGATGGGCACTGGTGGAGGAGTGCAAAGGCACTGCCTCTGACAAACCAATTAAACACTAAGCAGCCTCTCTGTCCACACACAGCAGGAGAAGCACAGTGTCAGTCCTGTGCTTTCTATCCGCTTATCTTTACTGTAACCCAGCCCAGAGGTATTGATTCATCGAACGCTAAGGTGTGGCAAGGTCACCTGACAGTCAACACTACCAGTATACAGATAGCAAACGCATACTACAAACCCATTGACTACACGATTGTACTCCATTCATCATACCATGCACAGTACAATATAATGCAAACTACAGTAAAATCCCAAATTATCATAGAAAAAGAACTTGACCTCATGAGTGAAATCATAGTCCCCTAATGCTGGTGGAAACTATATGTGGGCAATTTGGGTTGGTAGCATTTTTAAATTTTCTGGCAAAATGACAGCTGGCAACTCCAGGTTTCAGAGTCAAGATCAGAAGCAAGCTAATTCCATTAGCCTTCAGACTTCTCCAGCTGTTGTCTGTGTGTTTGTGTATAGGATGTTTGAAAGGGTTAAATGCAGAAGAGTATTATCCCTATGAGGATGAATAAAATAGTACTGAATAGAACACATCATGAAGAAGGAAAGATGTCATCAAGAATCCAACCGTGAAACTAAGAGAATCTGATTGCACTTACACAAGGCTACGTAGTTATGTTGTTGCGGGCAGTGTTGACATGAACCCGCTTTGATTTGTTGTCCCTCTTTTACACACTCACATTTCCTGGCACTAGGTGTTCAATATGTAAAATTGCTTCATGCTACTCAACAACAAGTTGTAATGTTAGAATAATTTTGTCAAACATGTTCGGAACCAGGAACTGAAAAATATTGATATATCATTCTGCAAGCTCATAGCATTGGTTCCTTGTGCTGATTCTAATCTGATTATGTGCCTGTGCATATATTAGCTGAAGAACCACCACAGTAAACCTCAGTAAACACCTTAAAATGTTGAATGTAGAATCACAAATTAAACCTTGATTGTGAGACAAGATTTTTATTTAATTTGTGCAATTATTGTTGTTGTTGTTGTTGTTGTTGTTGTTAATATTTGATTTGAACATAAACAATATAGCCACAGCCTTCCCAACATGGAACCTAGCTCGAGCGACTGCCTCCTCAGGTCACTACAGTATTAAATGCAGAAAACAAGCTGTAGTCTAACACAGTTAACTACCTGTCACATTATTAAAGTCACAGCAGCTTAAATAATCAAACTTGTTTAAGCTGACAGTGACTTGTTCACTGTAGTTAGTGTCCAACTACTACAGTAATCAGTTTTCACAGAAAAAAAGTTATTTTGACAGTTTACCGGTGCTTGTGATTATTATACACTGATAAAACACATTCATTCAACTTTTT